GGCGCGAGGATTCTTTCAGCACCCAAGGCAAGGCGAGCCGAGCGACCGTCCCAAAGCCGTCCCGAAGCCCATCGACAAAGGTACAAAGGAAGAATTGAAGGTGGCGGGGAGAAGCGGGGGACGGCTGGCTGGCCGGTCGCTCGGCTCGCCTTGCCATGCGTGCTGATGCCGGTACTGGGCCGTGGATCATTTTGTGATGCCGGTACCGGGCCGTGGCACAAAAAAGGTTGGGGGCCACTGATCTAGGCGATGTTTCGATGAAGTCTCATTCATCATCTTCAGGCTTGTGTCTTCGGGAGAAAACGGGAGAATAACACAGGAGAAAACCCAAATAACCAAATATATATATATATATAAAAATCAGGAGTGTTGCAATGGCGGCCCATTTTTCTCCTTCTCGTTTTAGATGTACTACCAGTGTTTTAAATTTTTAAAAGTGAAAAAACCAGCAGCCCTTCTAATGATGTTGAACTACAGTTTGTAGCCTTCTCTTCCCCTTTGATCATGCTGGTGGCCAGGCTGCTAGACATTGTAGTTTGACAGCATCCAAAGGGATACATAATCCATTCAAATATGAAATACATTCAAAGCTGCCATGTCTTAATAAGGGAAGTAGTTGAACATAGCCTAGATGAGAAGTAGACTACATATAGTTGGTCAATGATGTTTGGGGTGGGGGGCAGCTTTTCTTAAATTATTTTTCAAGAAATAATCCCACCCCAAATGATGAGGTGGTTGCAATCGGGAATCGTGTGTAAGTTCAGAGCAAACTGCCTGCTTGGGAGTCTCCTAAGTCCTACATTGCTGTATTGGTTTTACGTATCTGGATCTACAATGCTGGACTCTGCATCCTCACTCCCCCACCTGTGAATCCTGCTTCTTTATTAAATGGGTCATCTTTGCTTGCTTTGTGAGTCCTTAATCACTGGCTTTGCCAATGTGGTGTTTGTGTAGTGTTTAAATCCATGTGGGTGCGGCATCATTCAGCATCAACATTCAGAATGCCATTTATAACCCTTTCTCTTGACTTACAAGACTGGTTCTTGATTCCAAATATCGATACTACTGATTCTGCCCTGATTACAAGGAAAGTTAAAATCCTTCTGTGATCAGAAGATTCCTTATAAAGAGCACACACTTCTAAGAGGAAGCTCACACTAAACTCAGACTGTAAGAATTGAAAAGCATCAAAGAAAAGGCATTTGAAAGCTCCATCTGAGGGATCTGTCTATGGATCACAGCCTAGAGTTGTCTGCTCGTGATATACCCAACTCTACATCCAGCTATTGGAAATACAAAATTCCCTATTGCCATCTAGAAGCTTAACAAGTGCACATAGCAGCTATCCCCTGGGTGGTTTCAACAGTTGTTTAGCGTTCCCTACTGATATGCTCATAGGACTCCAAGTTCAACTGAGGCTGTAATCCTGTGTGTACTTTCCTATAAGAGAAATCTACCTATTCAGTGCACTTTCAGTTGCTTCCTGAAAGCCATATATAGGATTGGGCTATAAAAGTTATAAGGGCAGGGCAGGGCTTGGTAGGGCTTGGTGTGGTGTTCTGGATCTTGGAACAGGAAGAGGAGAAGACTTCACTTTCTCTTTTCAAGGCAATATAATTAATACCACCCTCTACTTTACCCTCAAATAAAGCAGGGTGATCTGAGGTCACCCAATGGCTTCAAGAAAGATTTAAACCCAACAGTGGTGTAAATAGAAAGATTGAAACATAACAGTGCTGTAAACTCAAAGCTCAGAAATATGTGAACTGCAGTTGTAATCACAATTGCAGTTCACATATTTCTGAGCTTTGAGTTTACAGCTCTGTTAAGACGGAAGGGACAGGTGGAACTTGTAGTGTCTAGAGCAGGGGTCCCCAACCACCAGGCCGCGGACCTGTACCGGTCCGTGAAACATTTCCTACCGGGCCGCCGGTTTGCTGGGTGCTGCCATCTTGTTTGATGAGAAAGTGCTTCCGGGTGAGCTTTTCCGGTTGGAAAGCGGCGTTTGGGTGCTGAAAGAATCCTCACGCCTTAGTTTCATCGAAGGGGGGGGCTTCTAACGAAACTAAGGTGCAAGGATTCTCTCAGCACCCAAGGCAAGGCGAGCCGAGCGACCGTCCCGAAGCAAAGCCCATCGACAAAGGTACAAAGGAGGAGTTGAAGGTAGCGGGGAGAAGCAGGGGACGGCTGGCTGGCCGGTCGCTCGGCTCGCCTTGCCTTGTCATGCGTGCTGATGCCGGTACCGGGCCGCGGATCATTTTGTGATGCCGGTACCGGGCCGTGGCACAAAAAAGGTTGGGGGCCACTGGTCTAGAGGGTCAGGGATATCCCCAGCCTTAGCCAAAAGAGCCTTGTAATTTTGTGGAGGTGGTATTAAAAATGTGTAATCCATTTGCAGAAAATTTACAGGTAATCCTGGTTTAGCAGCAATTGAGACCAGCTGCACTATTTAAGAACAATTAAATCATTGGAATGGCTTACCTCTGGAAGTTGTGAGTGCTTCATCACTGGATGTTTTCAAGAAGAAACTGGACAGACATTTGATATAGGGTCTCCTGTTTGAACAGGACTAGAATATTTCCAAGATCCTTTCCATCTCAGTCATTCTATGTTCTATCATTAAGCAAAGCTGTCACTAAGTGGGAAATCAGGACACCGGAACTGTGCCTTCTTTATCTCCACTCCCCACCCATTAGAGTGCTCAGTCTTGTACAGTGCTGGGGTACAGGTGCAACTACTCCCTGTAACAGATCAACTAGTTTCACACCTTTATCTGCAATTTCACTGCAACTTCCCTTAATAATTAGAGAACAATTTCCAAGAAGGGATTTAATGTTTGTGTTTACATTCATTCCAGAGCAAAGGATGACAAGAGAGTAAGCAAGCACAGAATGGTGAACACAGTGAAACCAATGCTGTGGTTGCCAGCAGCTCTCAGCATATTTCACAAACAGTTCAGTTGATTTCCCATCGTGTGCCTGCCTGCTCTTGTAATCCCTTCCTCTCCAATCTCTCTATTATGCAAGGGAGGGGGAGAAAAAAAAAAAACACCAAGTGATTTCTGTGGGTAATCTCTCCTGTACCCCCTCTCTCGCAAAGAAGAAAGATTGGAGAGGAAAGGATTACATGGGAGTAAACAGGCACACAATAGGGAACACACTGGGCTGCTTGCATAGCATGCCATGATGGATTGCATTTATGAAGGGAGAAGTGGCAAGATGGACTACAGTGAAGCATCCGTTTCCCTGAAAAGAGGGAGCACATTCCAAGGAATGGGTGGGAGACGAAAGACAACATAACCTGGAGCCGAATTGGAAACAGAAGAAATTTAGCAGGGCCACTTCCTAACATTTCCAAAGGTCTATTCATTAGGACGACAGTAATATAGGTTTAGTCTGGCAAGCTTCTGGTTGTATGGTGCAAGCACATAAAAAGTGAAATTTGACTGGATTGTTCTGTGCCATTCTTGGGCTGGGCCTGATATGCTCTCTGGTGTTGCCATATTCCTTTCAATATTTATTCCCCATGATATGCCTGTCTACATTTTTGAAATCCTTTACTCTCCAACCAGTTCATTTTGCAAAGGAGGAAAAAAAAAAGAAAATTCCATCTTTTATCAATGTCAAATTTTGTGGAAGATTTTGCTCAGCATATTACTTTATTGTTTATTCCCTGCTGATTTTGCATTGCCCTGATAGTTCTGTTTTCAAAGCCTGTTGCACAGCATACAATATCACAGTATTATTGGCAACTTTTCTTATTAAGAATGGAATCTTATTTTGGCAACTGACCTAAAGATCCTGACTTTGCTGCTTCACACCAAATTAGCATATTAATTAGTATTAAAAGCCCTCTTTTCACCTGCATATCTACTCCAGAAAACTGGCTAACTTCTCTCTGTTAATCTCTACAATTATATGGAATTATTAAATGTCTATGGCAACTCAGATACTTTCCCATTAAATTCCTAAACTTTTGAATCAAAGTCTATGCTCAAGCATATTTTTAAAAACACTAAGAAAAACTATGTATATCAATGAGAATCCTTGTGCAGATTTTAAAGCAAAAATTAGAAAATGATTGTAGCTGTTCAAACTTGCATGCGTGTTTGCAAAAGAGCTAAAGTATTGTATTGACAAGCGCTTAAAAAAAGGGGGGGTTGACCCCACCTCCCTTTTCTATGAAATTTCTAATAAACAAACCAGGAGTCAAAATGCTTGTTTGATTTTCCCCCTCCTTTTATTTTATTTTGCTGTTTATTTGTTTCTTCTTTTTAAAGTTGCTTTTACATGCGCATAATTTGGAATTCTGCATTGGAATATGGAGCTGTTATCATAAGAATCTGACTTCAAGAAACAGAACGACAACCAAAAAAAAGTTACTACATGGTAGAAAAAATTATGTCCAAGGTACAAATACATACAGAGTTCCAAGGACCAAATGTTTTTTGACAAAGAGATATTTACAAAGTTGTGGGACTGAGGGAAGAGAACAAGGAAGATGGAAATGCAAACAGGAAGTTTTGCCCAAGTTGAACACTTGGAGAACTGGCCAAATCAGGAAAAAGATAGCTCCAATCCACTGTGATCTTT